TTGTTACTGGTAAGTTGTACTGTAGCACTTATAGGAGGCGCACTTTACACGTGTGATTATATAGAAGACAAAATTGACATCTCTAAGATAGTACGGATTTGCTGGGTAGTTAAAGTGCGTTATAGTGGGGTCTTACAGGTATCATAATGGTATAATAATGTTTTTGGTATCTCCTTTATACAGTTTAATGTATGTTGGTCTGCATATCTTAAACATTTTATCGTATTTGTACAATGTAATAGTTTTCTCCACATGGTGTAACAATATACCCCGGACCAAGGGTAATTTGTTACAGTTGATCCAGGGAGATGTAAAAAATAATTATTTTTTACATCTCCCTTGTTGATCTACTTCATTAATTGATTAATGATTACAACCAATGTACTTTTCTTCCATTAGAAAAGAAATGATGTGTTTGTCTCATTAAATTACGTAATTAAGGAACAATATGTCTCCACTACTTTTCTGAAGAGATTTACTGCTTCTGTTCCTATTCAGGGGACACCACTTAAGGGCACATTATTGGTTCAAAGGGCGTCCCCTTAATAAGGTTTCTACTATAGACTTGTGCTACATTTTCACACGTTATGATTTTAAATATAGTTGTTAACCGATTTTGTTATTATGGTGATGATTATGTCATTACTGTATTACATCATTACTGTACCTTTTCTATATAAAATGATGATGCTCATTAAATTATGGTTGAATATAATTTAATAAATCGTATAGATTATTATTGCTGTTTTCCCCCCTTTTTTTGGCACTTAAAGATGTACTGTCCCTTGAAAATGACCAAAATCATAAAAAGTAATTTTTAAATTAACTTGCTCATTTTGCACTAACATACAAATTATTAACTTGAGCATAGAAATTATTAAATAAAAAAAAAAATGTGTTCCCTGATTTTTTAACTGGATAATTATAATAAAAATAATAAAACGCTTCCAGTGACTGCAAGTGTTTCTATCATTTTTTTGCTGTAAAATGATGGTTTATATGGGTGAGCATTTTTTAAATACACTAATTTCTATGTTCAATTTGATAATTTTTATGTTACTTCAAAATGGGCGAATAAATTTCAAAAATTATTTTTATGACTTTTTAAAATTTTTTGCAAGGAACAGACAGTACATCTTTAAGACTGTATTCAACAAAGTTATCAATTATAAACTCAACGTATACGCCAGTCATCTCAGTCCAAATCCGCCCCTTTTGTTGAACAAATTATTTGGAGGCAGCTGGTACGGTAACTTGTAGAGCCGCTACACCTCTCTCTCTCTCAACTGGCCCACGCAATATTTAAAGTTAATAGGGAGGTCCCATCTCAGCCTCAGCATGGTTTGGGCTGTGGTTTGCACATTTTGAAAATATGGCATCTGGCGAACTGCAGAGCCGCTCCCCCTTTTCTATGACTTTACAGGGGAAGATCAGGGGCGGATCCAGGAATTTTCTGACGGAGGGCGGGGGGAAATATGGTAGTCCACACTCTAGCAAATCTTAATAGCCCCCACTAGATGCTCGGAAATGGCACTCTGTGATGGTAAAAATGCTGTATCAAAGCAGTGTTCCTCGACAAAATTATTGACTTCTTCCCGACGGGCGGTGTTTTCCGCTCCCTTAGACACCTCTCCCCTCACGGGCGTCGCAAAGGTCTAATTATAACCTATAGTGTCTATTCTATACGTAGTCACAAAGCAAATTATGGTACCGCTAGATGCCCGGAAATGGCACTCATTCAGACTCCATTTTAAATGAGTGTAGGAAAGTCCTAGCCGCCTGGGATCCCACCCCCACTGGATTAATATGATATAAGTCTAACAGTCGGTGTCAGAGACACATTATGCTGTTATGTATCAAAAAAGCCCTTTTGGATCGAGGACCTTATGGGTATCGGGGAACCGAAGGCGTCTGGGATATAGCGTTGTGTTTGTCGTCATCAATAAAACATTAAAAATGACTGAGTGCTAAAATAATCGAGCTCTCCTTCCGTCCAACTGCTGGATCCGCCACTGTACTCATGGACACTTCATTTTCCCCCTCTTTCCTTCCTCCAACTCTTCTCAATTTATTCTCCGTCTTTCTTTTTTTCGGCCTGACTGAAACGGGAACAATTTCATATAGGCCTAGGCCTGTGTAATATACTTATACAGATAAATGATTATCTAATAATATGAAATGATTCGTGTTCAGTATATTATGCTGTTACTTTTTAGTATTTGTGTAATAAATGCTTTAGGGGTTTACATTTTGATAGTAAGTAGGACCGACTTGAACCGATATGCCGTTGTGTGGTGATGACAGTTTGGCCTACTCCACACCTCCAAAAAATATATATATTTTTATTACACCTTTACACATTTTAAAACTTAATCTTAATTATTACTAAAATTCAGGATTTTAAAAAAATAGTTGAAATGCATAATAGTGCATGTTCTAAAGAAAGTTCTGAAGTGATGCAAACGACATTATTGATATATTCACATAATTTATAGGTATCGGTATAATGAAAAAAAAAAGTGGTCTGGTCATAGCCAGTGCGGCTCGTGACGGTCCCGAAGGCTCTGGAAGAGAGTATTTTAGGTTTAAACTTATAAGGATAACCCCCAAGTCTGGTGACTTGTCTCCAATGTGGAGGGATGAGGGCTCTTCTGGTGGTGGTTAGAGGCGTCCCGTGCTTCAACGCGCACACAGGGCTCTGGCTATACCCCACTTTAGCTAAGTATCTGCTCTCACCTGGGAGGACTCAATTACACCCATCCCTCTCAATAATTACTTTACAATGATAGGAATAACAAAATGATAATCCGATCTCGTACATTTAATTAATCTTGGTATATATGGAAATATAAAACGGTGATTAAGCACGCTTGAAAACTAGGGCATATCGTTCACCTTTAACATGACGTAAAAAGTAGCAAACCCGCAGCATGACCATGTTTAATGATGGTGGTTTGAAGGCGGGAATGTGATTTGTTCGTGACAACGTCTTCCCAGTGAGCAAACGAAGAACTTACCTACAAAATAACAGATCCTGAAGCGACGGATCATAACCAGCTTCTTCGGTATCACGACTAATCTCGTTTAGCTGTGCTCGAAAAAACACCCACTGGGCCTGAAATGTCTTCGCGTGTTTCTCTTTGATTACCTGTAGTTTTCAGTATTCATG